TCCTCCCGGGGGTCTGGGTTAAGGCTTAGACTTTTAGGACTAAACTGCTGAAGTGCTGAAGCACGCCTGCACGTCTTGCCTCAGCTTTTTGAAGCCTGCCAGGTTGCACCTCCCTTGGTTCGCTCCGCCATGGCTCTCCGCTTTCTGGCCGCCGTCTTGCTGGGCGCTGCCGCGTGGCAGTGCGCCTTCGTGACCTCCGGTGCCGGCCCGACCCGCTCTCCTCAGGTGAGCATGCGTGCGGCCGCTGGCCAATCCCAGGCCGCTGAGCAGGAGAACGGCCTGTCCCCTGTGGTGTCCATCGGCATCGGTGCCATCGTTGGTCTGCTGGTGGCCGCGGCCCCAGCATTGGCCGTGAGCTCCCAGGGCTACGAGCAAATGGGGGGCGACGAGGTGAAGCGCTACGAGAAGCCCGAGGGCACTTCCAACCTCCTCAAGGAGCTGACGGGTGACAAGCAGAAGTTCTACGCGGGCAAGGTGGACCTGGACTACAGGAGCAAGGGCTACAAGATGGAGGAGTACAAGACCGAGCGTGAGCTGCAGTCCAAGCTCAAGGGTGGCAAGTGAGCTTGTTCTGCTGTTCCCACACTTTTTATGCACAGCTCTATCGTGGCCTCTGCTTCCTACTTGGAGCCTGGCAGCAGCAGAAATGCAAAGAACTCAAAGGTGGTTGCTGCAAGTTTGCTGCCTCCCCACGCCGTGCTTTGAGGTTCAAGTGTCAAGACGTGCAAGTACTAAGGCAAGTAGCACACACCCTTCAACCCCAAACGGCCCTAAACCCCAAACCCCTAAACCCGAAACCCCTGAACCCTAAACCCTAAACCCAAACCCTAAACCCTAAACCCTAAACCCAAACCCTAAACTGTCTCAAGATGTTTTAGAGTCTGTGTAGGACTGAGCTCGGATCTTGGGGCCTTGGCTGTTGGGGGTTCCTTACTTAAAAGGTCATGGGACTTAGGGTTTAGGGTTTAGGGTTTAGGAAAGGGTCATGGGACTTAGTAACTAAGGCTATACACAAGGTAACTATACTTATTATTACTTATAACCCCACTTAAGGTACTTATAACTGTACTTACTAAGTCCCATGAACCTCCAAGTAGGGTCCGGGTCATCTTTACGAAGGGACTCAATGTGCCCTAAACCCCACAGTAAGGGTTTTCGGTGTAGGGTTTTCGGTTTAGGGAAAGCCTAAACCCTAAACCCTGTACGAAGGGGCTCTAAATGCACTGATGAGGTTTCGGGCATTTCTAGACGGCTGGAAAGGCCATTGGACCCTACTTCAAGATTCGTAGCCCTTAATAGAGCCCTTTAAAGGAACTCTTAACAGGAACACTTTGTATTCAGATTCGTAAACATTCCTCAGGGTATTTTTGTCGGTAGCTACTTAAAGGAACGCGTAGCCAGAACCCTATATAATGCGGCTATTAAAAAGTAGCTGATCGTATCGGGGTGGGATTTGTGAGTTACAAGGAGAGTCGTAGCTGTTGAAGTTGAGGCAGCAAGCTACATGACTGTACCTGCAGTTTGATTGCCCCACTTACAAGGAACCCGAAGACCTGAAGTCTGAGCACTAAAGGGTTAAGCCTTACGGTTGATGAAAAAAAATCCTGCACTATGCAGAGTAGGGAATTTACCATAATTCCCATAGTTGAGGGTCCGTAAGGTAATGCAGGGTTTAGATCATCAACAGCTGTAATTATATGTATAACCCCGGTTACTGAGTCTCATGAACCTTTAAGCAGGTCCTAAACCCAGACCCCCGGGAGGATCTAGAAAGTAGATCCCTTAAGGAGGGTTCCTATAAAGAGCCTTTAGTAGTATAGGGTCTCAGACTAGGGGTTCTACTTTTTGGATCCTCCCGGGGGTCTGGGAACCTTAAACCCTAACCCAAACCCCTGGGATCCCTTCAGGCAGGGGGTTTCAACAGTCACATGTGCAGTTCAGGTCCGTGACGTGGGCTTTGGTCGTGGGTTTGGGATCCAAGTTTAAAGCACATGCTGTCTTCCTCAACCCTAACCTCAGTCTATATACCAGAATCCCACTTTTCTTGTAGGTTCTTATGATTAACCGTAACATGGGATTTATAGGGGCCCTACAAAAAAGTAGGTTCTGGTGGGTTAAGGAAACCCCTAAACCCTAAACCCCTGAACCCCTAAACCCTTTAGGGCAGAATGCTTGAAGAATTGCTTCTAGCACCGCTCCCCAAGCGGTGGCTTTCAGAGGGCTGCTTGCAGTTGCGACTGTTTAGGGGATTTAGGGCTTTAGGGGTTTAGGGGTTTAGGGTTTAGGGCTTTAGGGCTTTAGGCTTTAGGGTTTAGGGTTTAGGGTTAGGGTTTAGGGTTTAGGGTTTGAGGGTTTAGGTGTTTGACAATCGCATCACCGGAAGTACTCCCAAAGCTACTTGTTGCTCTGCTGCAGATTCATATTGCTACCGACAGCCGTCGTACGGTTGATATACATCCGGCATTACCTTAAGGACCCTAAACTATGGGAATTGTGGTATATTCCTTACTATGCGTATTGCAGAATTTGTATCATCAACCGCAGCAAAAGACGGTATAGCAATCACCAAGTACATGATAGCGCCAAGAAACACATATATGGGGCATTGGCAATCAATGCATGAGTAGGAGCCAGGCAAATGCCACTGGCACAAACATACTTCTGATGAGAGACGCATCACTGCGTTCTCTAAACGAGGATCTCCATCGGAATCCCCATAATTTGGAATAAGGCCTATAGCGGGATCCTATCTTAAGCCCTAGATACGAAATTCCCGAACTGCCAATTCTCTATAATACTAAACCCCTACTCCTTTAAATCGAAATCCCTCTAAAACCCTAAGCCCAAATCGTCCTTTGCTTCGCCTCGCCGCCTTACATCGCAGCATCGCACTCGAGGCGTCGACTGCTATGTAGCGACATGCTGCAACGCATGAAGTATGATTACAAGGCATTCTGTCTCGGGACATTGCTTCAACATCCCTCCTGGTCCGTAACATCGGATTTCTGCCTTCTCACCCAGTTTTGCTCTCGTGCAATTTTCTGACAGTGCCCAACATGCGCACCTCTGGCCGCATTTCCGTGATTCCGGATATCGGATCAGCTAGTAGGTTGGCGGACCCTCAATCCCACAAGGTTCGAAGCTCTGTGTTCATAACTGCCCCTGCAAGTTTCCAGCCCAACTCCACAACACAACAGGGTACTGGAGAAGGTTCACGGGACGTCGTAAGTTGCATGTTCTTTAAGACTCATTTTTAGTTTTGTTGCAGCGTATCCCGTGGGTTTTGCGAAGATGATGCTTATGTTTGGGTCTGAGCGCTTACAGACGCTTGTAGTAACTCGGTCAAAGTGCAGTCATAGCCACTCTCAGCGGGCAGTTCTCCTACTTCAAAATCTTGGTGACCTTGCAGAGAAGAGGTTAGGGCATAATTACCACGAGATGGAAGGTTCTTGAGTACTTCTTTTCACGACGACTACAGTGGCTACACCGTTGCTGCTACTACTACTACGACGACGACTACTGCTGCTACTCCTACAGCTACTACTTGTGACTGCTTCGATGTTACCTCTACCCGCCTTCCTGCCTGGCAACAATCTAGTGTTGCGCTTGCGTTATTGTCATGCACAGCTGGGTGCTGATGTAGCTGCCGTTATATTCCCAATAACTACCTTACATGGTGGCCATACTCTGTCTGTTTTTCTCGTTGCTATGGAGATTGCGATCCGGAGTCTGGAAAACTTATAGACTGGAAACGGCTAAATCCGATACCTGTGACCGTTCGAACTCAACCCCCAAGCCGAGTAAAAGCCAGCGGCGTACGCCGAAAGACAATGCCCTACCGACCGAAGCCCCTCATTCGCCGCTGCCCTAAACCCTAAACCCCTGAACCCTGAACCCTGAACCCTAACCCCTGAACCCTAAACCCTAAACCCCTGAACCGTAAACCCCTGAACCCTAAACTCTGAACCCTAAACCGCCTAAGCCCTAAACCCCTGAACCCTAAACCCTAAACCCTGAGAAAAAGGGTCGACTTAGCCGACTTAGCTCTTGGATCGCAAAGGCGAAGCGGAAGAGGAGTCCCTAAACCCTTAGGGTTTAGGGTTTAGGGTTTAGGCGGTTTAGGGTTTAGGGTTTAGGCGGTTTAGGGTTTAGGGTTTAGGGTTTAGTCCAACAAGGGTTTAGGGTTTAGGGCCTGCAGCACAAAGCCCATCTGGGTCCAACAGTAGTGCCCTCTAAACCTTAAGCTACAAAGAGAAGACCGGAAGACCTCTTGTTCCGTGATACTGTTGATGATACAAATCCTGCATGACCTCAAGGACCCTAAACTATGAGAATTATGGTATATATTCCTTGTTATGGGGTAATGCAGGATTTATATCATCAACCTGAAACCCAAAGCCCCTAAACCCTACACCCCTACCCCAAAACATAAACCCTAAGTTTCTAAACCCTAAATAAACCCCCTACCCTAAATCCTAAACCCTAAAGCCCTAATATCATCAACCCTAGTGGACGGCCGAACTGCAGAGCCTTCAAAGGACCCAATACAACTCTACCAAAACCTTATAAAGACCTTACGGTTAGGGGTTTCAGCGTTTAGGATTTAGGGGTTTAGGGTTTAGGGGTTTAGGGGTTTAGGGTTGTGGGCTTCGGGTTTAGGATCCTACGGTTGATGGTATAAATCCTGCATTACCCCCATAAAAAGGCATATATACCAGAATTCCCATAGTTTAGGGTCCTTAAGGTCATGCAGGATGTATATCATCAACAGTATGTTATGCTTATGACAGCCCTCCACAACTCGACCAAGCCTTACCTGGACCCTAGAGAACCTACCTTTTTAGGGTTTAGGGTTTAGGGATGATTTCTTTATATCCTACCTTTTTAAGGTTCCTTATTATGGTTTAGGGTTTAAGGTTTAGGGATGATTTCTTTATATAAGTCCTTAAAACGGTAGGCTATTTGGGGTTAAGGTAATCCCTAAACCCTACTTGGAGGTGCAGGGGACAGAGTAGGTACAGTTATAAGTAAAGTTACCGTATATAGAAAAACCCTAGTTACTAAGTCCCATGAACCTTTTAAGTACTGTAGGAACCTGATTAAGAAACCCTGCATCTTTATTAGGGCTCCAACCCTAAACCCTAAACTCTCCCTAGTTACTAAGTCCCATGACCCTCTAAGCAATCCCAAAAACCCCCCTATTATGGAACTCATGTAGGTAGATCCCATGAAGGAAGTGTTTAAAGGAGCCTTTTAGGGAACCCTAGAACCCTAGTTACTAAGTCCCATGAGCCGTTAAGCACTCCGAGGCACCTCTTGCATTCTTGGCCTCGCTCTTGCCGGCGTTTCGGCAGTGTCCCCTTGGCCTGGTCAGACGTGGACGAGACGAGGGTTTAGGGAGTTCAGGGCTTAGGGCTTAAGGCTTAGGGTTTAGGGTATAGTGTTCAGGGTTTTGGCGTTTAAGGTTCTGGGTTTGGGGTTGTTATTTGGGGAAATGAAGCAGGCTATATAAATCAGGGATTAGGGTTTTGGGTCTTGGTGAGAGAAGGGCTTCTGAGGACTAG